CTGTAGGAGAGGTAGTATAGAGTGCCTTCCTGGGCTGTGATCCGACGGGTCAAGGTGCACAGGGAGATGGGAAGCTTTACGTTTATGTGTTTAAGACACTTCACTGCTGTGTTTGTTTGTTTTTGAGACAGGGTCTGTCTTCATAGCATTGGCTGGCCTGGAGCTCACTGTGTAGACAGCAGAGGTCCACCTGCCTCTGCTCCCTTGCCTCTGCCTCTCTGCCTCTGCCTCTGTGCTGGGATGAAAGGCTTGTGCCACCATGCCTGTGCTGTGCTGCTGTTTGAATGTTTGGAGCATTTGTGATCATGTTTGGCTGTCCCTGTGAAGTGTCACTGTTTTATAAGAAAGTGGACTGAACTTCACGGCCATCTCTCCCGCCCCTCCCCACCTGTCTTCTAGGACATGACTGACAATAGCAACAGCCAGCTGGTAGTACGAGCCAAGTTTAACTTCCAGCAGACCAATGAAGATGAGCTCTCCTTCACGAAGGGCGACGTCATTCATGTCACGCGAGTGGAGGAAGGAGGCTGGTGGGAGGGCACGCACAGCGGCAGGACTGGCTGGTTCCCCAGCAACTACGTGCGCGAGATCAAGCCAAGCGGTGAGTGGCTCAGCTGGACCATGGGAGGAGGAGCCAGAAGGTGTGAATGTTCTAGGGTGCTGAGTGCCCGTTCTCCATTGTGCACAGGCAAAGATCCTGGTCTTGGATGTCATCTTTAGGCCAGTGGAATGAACTTCTTTCCTGCACATTGGGATGCTGGATAAAGGCGCCCCTGTCATTAGAGACTGGCTTTGCATCACACCATCATATTTCCAGATAGTTTCCTAAGGAAAACCTCTTTTTTTTAAAAAAAAAAAAAAGATTTATTTATTATGTATACAATGTTCTGTCTGCATATATTACTACACCCCAGAAGAGGGAACCAGATCTCAATGTAGATGGTTGTGAGCCTCCATGTGGTTCCTGGGAATTGAACTCAGGACCTCTGGAAGAGCTGCCAGTGCTCTTAACCTCTGAGCCATCTCTCCAGCCCCTAAGAAGAACATCTAAGGTCTGTTAATTGTTATCTCTTGCTTTTTGAGACAAAGTCTGGACATGTTGCCTAGGCAATCCTGGGAACCCTGAGCTCCAGTAATCCTCCTGCCTCACCCTTCTGAGTAGCCAGGTCTGCAGGTCTGTGCCCCGTAGCCATCCGTTCACTTTTATTGTTACCATTATGCTTTATATTTTAATTTATGCTTTTTTATGGCCTGGGCTAGATTGTATTTTTTTTCACTACTATGGACTTATTTATTTATTACCAGTTAGGCACAGGCAGGCAATTTCTGCCATGCGTTCTATGAAAATGTGTTGATTTTCCCGTGTTTCTGTGATTAACACGTTGTCCAGGGATGTGTGCTCTTGCAAGTGCGCAGCAGCCTTCAGCCCATTTCATGGTGCTTCGCGGTGGTTTGTGTCTTGGGATGGTTTGAGCCCTGCAGGTCAAGGCTGTGGAAGTCCTGTAGTCAGGGACGTGGGACGCAGCAGAGGTGCTCTTTGCTGACGGGCTCAGTGCTATGCTTCCTGACGCAGGCACCGCTTGGTCATGCCCCTGCATCGTGTCACCGCTTGTGTCCAGAAGCGGCCTCACCAAGACTGCTGCTTATTTTCAAGGGACTTAGAGCAGGTTTTGTGCGTGCGTGTGGGTTTGATCTTGCTTTCCTGTTGGACTTGGTTAAGATGTTCTTGTGAAATTAAAAGAAGTAAAACGATGTCATAGGCAGGGGTGTTGGGGGAGGGCCCCTCGTGCTGTAAGCAAGGTCCCTTGGGAGTAGAGGCTGGCTCTGGAGAGGTAGTTGTTAGGCCTGCTTTTTGAGTCCGGTAGCTGTCTCTCCTCTACTTTGAACAGATGGAGTAGGAACGCCCATGACATTTTTACTTCTCAGGTAGTTTTCAGTTCACCCTGCATAAGAAGTGCCAGTAGGGGGTGTAGGGGTGTGTGTGTCTCAGAGCCCTCCTGACCTGACCCTGGCATATACTTTCAAATAGATGGAGATGTTCTAGAAGTACCACTAGGGGCGTCGGTGTGTGTGTCTCAGAGCCCTCCTGACCTGACCGCGGCATATACTTTCAAAAAGATGCAGATGTTCTTAATGTCGTCTCTTGACAGCATGCTGTCTAGAGTACGCCTTGCATGTGGGGTTGCTGTTGCACCTTGGGGTGGAGTGTGAGCCAGGCAGAGGAAGCTCTCGGAGGCCAGCGGTGTTGGGGTCGGTGCCAGCCCCCCCTCCACGCTCAGTTCCTCGGTTTGCGTTGGGTCTCTGAGTGTGTGTCTCCGCCAGTTTCAGGTTGTACAGGCTTCATCGGCCTCAAAGGTCTGTATGGGATACGGCTTCAGTGCTGGAGCCTTTACCAAACGTGTGGCCGAGGGTGCTCCCCAGCACACCCTCTTCAGGAGCGGTTTCTGCAAGGAGACAAGTTGAATTCATTCTTAGTGTTTGTGCCAGATTTGCTTTCAGACCTAACTTGCTTTGTTTGGAAAATTTTCAAATTTTTTTAAATACAAGAAATACCACAGTTTTACACATTAGTGTTAGGATGAATGTCCTCTCTTCGGCAGTGAGACGGGAGTAGCCTCCTGGGAATAGTGCCTGCCTACAGTATTTTCTTAATGTGAGCTGACTATGAGAAAAGTGAGCCAGTCTAATTCTAAATGTTGGCCGTCCAGGAGTGATGTGTGAAAACATTTAAAAAGAAATCCAGCGTCTTTGTGCCAGCAACGCAGGGTAAAATACTAGGATGACAGTTACATCCTGGCATTGTATCTTCTAGTAGTTTCCGTGGTGTTCTAATTGTGGGATGGGATTCCTTTTGTGATTTGTAGCATAGTTGGTGCTTAGTTTTCTGAGAACAAAACTGCCTGTTGGAAAGCTCCTCTGACTGGAATCCCATGAGGGCTGTCCTCACTGAACAAAAGCCGGAGTCCATCCCCTTGGCCGAACCTTCTTTTGCATTCCATTCTGGTTTGATTTACAGCCTGTGTGCAAACAAAAAAGCCAACGGCTGCTGCTTCTGAGAGGAATTTTCTCTCCTTCACCCCTTGGAGTCTCTGGGAAAGGATAGCAGCCACCGACTGTCTCCCTCTTGTGGTGTGACTTGGAGATGTTCTTGCCACATTTGGTGTTGATGCTTTTGGCCTCTGCACAGCCTGTTTTTCACAACAGCTCCTCACTGAAGACAGACCCTGGCCTAGTTTGCCTTCTGTTGCTGTGATAAAGACCAAGACCAAAAGGAGGTAAAGGGCTCTTGAGCTCACACAGTTGTGACTGTCCCGATCACGGTCCATCATTGAGGAAACGCCAAGGATCTCAACAGCGACCATGGAGGATGCTGCTTACTCACTGGGTGGGAGGCAGTTTCATTTTTTCTTTTTTAATTCATCTATTTTACATCCGGACTGCAACCTCCCCTCTCATCCTCCCTCTCAGTCCTTCTCCCCCTCCCACTCCCTCCTTTTCCATTTCCATCCGGGAAAGAGCAGGTCTCCCATGAGTATCAACAAAAAAAAACATGGCATATCAAGGTGCAGGAAGACTAAAGTCTGGACAAGGGACCCAGCATGAGAAGTAGAGTCCCAAAAGCCAGTAAAAGAGTCAGAGACAGCCCCTGTTCCCGCTATTAGGAGTCCCACAGGAGGACCAAGCTCCACACACCGTCACATACATTTACAGTGCCTAGGTCAGTCTCATGCAGGCTCCCTGGGTGTCAGTTCAGTCTCTGCGAGCTCCTCTGAGTTCAGGTCTCTGCATCTGCCTCCATCATTGGCTGGATGGCTCCTCTGATGACAAGTGGGCTAGGCACCAGTCTGGTCACAGGAGACGGCCACTTCAGGCTGCTTATCCACTATTGCTAGGAGTCTAAGCTGGGGTCCTCCCCATAGACTCCTGGGAGATTCCCCTGCACCAGGCTTCTCCCTGACCCCTAAATGCCCACCTCCTAGTAGTCTCTCAGCACTCTCCCTCTTTATGGGGACCCCCCCCCCCAATCGCTCATGTTCCTATACCTACCTGCCCTCAGTCCGCTCAGGAAATCTCTTCTATTTCCTCTTCCTAAGGAGACCTGAGTGTCCTCCTATGAACTCTCTTGTTAACTAGTCTTTGGGTCTGTGGATTGTAGCATAGTTACTCTTTATTTTACAGCTAAATCCACTTATGAGTGAGTACATATGATGTTTGTCTTTCTCAGTCTGGATTACCTTACTCAGGATGATTTTTTTTCCTAGTTCCATCCATTTTCTTTCAAATTTCCTGGTGTCCTTGTTTTAACAGCTGAGAAAATGTACCACGTTTTCTTTATCTATTTCTTGGTTGAGGGATGTCTATGTTGTTTCCAGGTTCTGGCTATTACAAATAAAGCTGCTATGAACATAGTTGAGCAGGTGTCCTTGTGGTATGATTGAACATTCTTTGGGTATATGGTCTTGTGGTAGGTTGATTCCTAGATTTCTGAGAAACCACCACACTGACTCCCAGAGTACAAGTTTGCACTCCTACCAGCAGTGGAGAAGTGTTCCCCTTGCTCCACATCCTCTCCAGCATGAGCTGTCCCTTGTGTTTTTGATCCTAGCCATTCTGACAGGTGTGAGATGGAATCTCAGAGTTGTTTTGATTTGCATTTCCCTGATGGCTAAGGATGTTGAACCATTCTTTAAGTGTTTTTTGGCCATTTGAGATTCTTCTGTTGAGAATTCTCTGTTTAGATCTGTACTCTATTGTAGATGAACAGTCTTTTTAAAATAAGAAACAAAGAGCCAAATGCAGAGTTAAAAGCCCAAGAGATCAGAGCAGTAGCTAAGAGCTAAAAACCCTTTCTTACCCTTCGCTGCCGCTGCTGTCCTTCCCCTCAGAAAGAGACCTACTTCCTGTATGTCTGTCTTTTTATTGACTTTCTGTTCTACCTTCTCATTGGTTGTAAACCCAAACACATGACCTCCTCGTCACTGCCTGTCTGTACAGACCTCCAGGTCTTCTATGGTATTGAGATTAAAGGCGTGTGTCTCCAATGCTGGCTGTATCCTGGAACACACAGAGATCTGTCTGTCATGTGATCTGGATTAAAGTGCACTGCCACCGCCCAGTTTCTGCTATGGCTTGCTATTAGCTCTGACCCCCAGGCAACTTTATTTATTAACATACAAATACAATCACATTTCAGTACAAATAAAATATCACCATACCCTAGTTTTTAATTGAATTATTTGGTTTGTTGATGTCTAGTTTCTTGAGTTCTTTATATACTTTGGAGATCAGCCCTCTGTCAGATGTGGGCTTGGTGAAGGTCTTTTCAAAACAACAAACACAAAAACCACCTGACTGACAGAAGCACCTCCCAGGAGTCCAGGAAGAATCTGTAGTTGGTGTTTTGCTTGCGTACCTTGCTGTCTGCAGTTCCTGGTGTGCATAGGTGTACGGGGCGTTCGTTTCCTGTGTGCCTGTTTGCATGTGCAATGTGTACACATTTTTACTTGTTTTATCCACACAGGTGGTGTGTGTGATGGAACACGCACAGGCACCTAGCAGGGAACTCCTTCAGTTCAAGGGAGAAGGGAAGGGGGAAACAGGAGGTGCTGGGGCTGGTGGGGCTGGGTTTAGGTTTACTGTTACTGAATGACTGTGGAGGCCCAAGCCGCCTGTGGTCAGCATGACTGTGCCAGTGGCCACAGATGACCATCCCGGGCTGACCTGGGCTGCTCTAACAGAAGTCGATGTTGACCTGCTTCCATGTCCAGTCTTCTTAGAGCCGCGTGCTTGCCACATTGCTTTGGAGTGGAACCTCCCGTGCTGTGTGTGCTCAGTGGCCTTCCTGCAGTTTCTGGGCCAGTGGGTACGGAGCATCAGGCTGCTTTTCAGCATCGCTTGTCACTAAAAGGTCCTGTTTTGGTTATTGTGCCGGGCCAAGATGAGTCTGCCTCTCACCCCCTCGGCATGCTGTGAGCTCTGTACCCCTTGGGACGCTCCCCTGCTTCTCCTCACACACACATCTGTGCTGATCTGTACTGAGTGTCCAGGTACTTCTGTGTCTGCACTGAGCAGTTCCTCTTGGGCCCTCTTGATACGGACCTGTGTGCTCCTCGCAGAGGTCCTGTGAGGTTGGCTGCAGTCTCAGCGGCCATGGGAGCCCAGGGCCTCTGTTGAGAGTGACAGGAACTCCACTTGAGTGCTGGGACAGACAGACGCGTGGTCACAGACTTGCTGTGCCCCTGCGCTCTGTGGCGGCTCACAGAGGAGGAGAGAATGCGGACGTACTCTGCTTGCTGTGTCTTCTTCCTGCCTCTTGTTTGTGAAACTGCAGCTTGAAACTGCTTTGTGAAAACCTTTTCTAGTTCTCATAGTAAATACTGAATTTTATTGACTCGGTGATGACTTTGAGGTGTAAATGCAAGAGGAGAATTTATAAATGCATTGCTTTGCTGCTATTTTTGAGACAGTCCTATGTGGGGCCATGAGCTCACATGTGTGCACTGTTTTCACAGGTGGTTCAGCATCTAATGACTTTCAGTGATCACACTTTGCAATTTTGTATCTTCACCCAGCTTGCAGGTTCTCTAGGTGTAAATCACTGCTTCCTTCCACCTGTACAGAGTGTCTCACAGTTGATTCTTCTGCAGCCAGATTCCCAGTCCAGGTCTGAATGTGGAAGGAACCTGTCTCAGCCAGAAGCATCGGGCTCGCTCTTCGATTACTTATGCTTAGGAAATGGCTTGTTTTCTGTGGGGCTGTTTTCCATCCTGCAGGCAGAGTTCTTTCAACGAGAAGGAACTCCTCCTGTTCTTTAACTATTGGGAAAATTAGACAGAGAGGCATGGCTTGGAGATTTAGGCAAGCAACCCTGGTGGGGGACCCAAGGTCTGTTCGGGCGTTTTGGACTCCTGTGGTGGTTGAGAAGATACCGGGGTGCCAGACAGGCAGGGTTTGGGGACCTGTAGCCGGGGAGAGAGCCTGGTGCTGTGCCATTATAGTTGGAGGAAGTGCAGACAGAGAAGGCAGAGCCATAGAGACTGGACAGGGGTCACCTCAGTCCCTACTCAGGGACCAGAATTCATATAGCAGGATTATTATGGGGAGGCAAGGGATATGGAGGATGTGTGACCTGAACTCCCCAGGAAACGCTTATCAGAGTGTCTGGGGTGAAAATATGGGAACGTGTCTCTCTCCGTTTATTCCCACGAGCCTGAGAACCATTAAAGCCCATGTTAGACGACAGGTACCTGGTCACCCCACAGCCAACAATAGGCAGACCCTGGACCACAGCTCATCCCCGAGACCTTCTCGGCTAGTGCAGGGCAGGCTTTGATGTGGAGGCCAGCTGTGAGAGGGCTGTGAGCAATAAAGCTTCCTTCTGTTCTTTGATTGCAGAGAAGCCCGTGTCACCCAAATCAGGAACCTTGAAGAGCCCCCCGAAAGGGTTCGACACGACTGCCATCAACAAGAGCTATTACAACGTGGTGAGTAACTGTGCAGCCCCTCGGTCTGCCGACTCTGAAGGCAGCGTCGTGGATGCACCCTGGCGTCCTAGAGGAGCCTCTGGTGCGTGGGGACGGCCCACTCCTTGTCGCTGTGTGGTGGGACTGGGGGCCATAGGACTGGTTGGAGTGGACTAGAGGTCCTCTAGCTTTGTAGGTTCTGGTTTATTTTGCCTGTTGCTCGCTCTTTCTGGAGAGTTAGAGGCAGGGCCTAGGTCAGTGGTTCTCGGACTTCCTAAGGCTGTGACCCTTTAAAACAGCTCCTCATGTTGTTGTGGTGACCCCAACCATAAAATTATTTTTATTGCTACTTCATAACTGTCACTTTGCTCCTATTAGAATCGTAATGTAAGTATCTGTTTTCCAGTGGTGTTAGGTGACCCCTGTGAAGGGCTGTTCACCTAGTAAAGGTGTAGTGACCCGCGGGTTGAGAACCGCTGGCCTAGACTCCAGACAGTAAAGACAGGTGTTCCAGGGTGGTGCCCTTGACTCCCCTGCTCTCTCTGCCCGGCTTCAGCTGCATGGTGGACTCTGGTGTGTGATAGTGCTGTCGCACGGTCCCCGTGGAGGAGGCACTTTGTGGCCTGCACCTGAAGTTGGCCTCCTCGGTGTGCATCCGGCTCTCCACTGGGTCCCCGGATGTCGGCAGCCTGGCTGAGATTCTGATGGTGTGGTGCAGGGAAGGGGTTCATGTCCCAGCTCTAACTGTCCTTGCTGCTTAGCCATGGCGTGGTTTTGAGATGAGCTGCTGGCTGCCTGAGCAGTGGCTTGACCTGCAGTATGAGGTCGGTATTGCTAGCATTGGCCTTGTACTGTGAAGAGGATTTGCGACTAGCCTTTGGGTGCGCAGTAAAGTGCCATAGAGGTTTCAAGGGCACTCGGAAGCACATTTACAAATTTTGGAAACAAAATGCATGGCTGAGGCCACCCATGCCATTCTGTTTGCAGGCAGGTCTCCTGGTTGCTTTTGAGGATGCCCATGAGATGTTAGTCCAGTGACCTGATCATGTAGGTACAAGAGACATACCTGTGACAGGAATGACTATCTGAACTTGATGGATCCTGACCGTGAAGCTGCTGCTTCCACCCATAGCATGACGTCTTTCCCACCAGGGTCCAATAAGGACTTGGGTGCCCTACTCTGAGGCTCTCACAGTCTTGTGTATGTCTTCATTCATCCCTGGAGGGCTGCTCACTTAACAGGCTTCCCCTTCTTCTCAGCACACTGTGTTGTTAAAGAAAGTCGCTCTGCTCATGCCTGGTATCACAGGAACGCAGGGCGGCTTTTTCCTTGACATGCGTACACAGACTGAGTGACAGGTGACAGTCACAGGTTACAGTCTACAAGTGTCCACAGCAGTACACAGACTAAGTGACAGGTGACGGTCACAGGTTACAGTCTACAAGTGTCCACAGTACACAGACTGTGAGTGACAGGTGACGGTCACAGGTTACAGTCTACAAGTGTCCGCAGCAGACATGCATCTTGGGAAGCTGCTAGACACCCCTGTGCTTTCTCCTGGGCTCCTGTGTGGCACTGGGCTTGTCCTCTGCTCCCTGCAGCCTCTTTGGTGTTGGCCCAAAGAGAGAGAGTGGCAGGCACTGTGGGCCCAGGGTTTGCTTCATCCGATCTTTGGTCTTTTACTTTGATCAAGATTTCTTTTATATCCCATGTCTTAGACAGTTTTCTATTTCTGTGAAAAGACACTAAGACCAAAATGATTTATAAAAGAAAACATTTACTGGGGCTCACAGTTGCAGAGGGCTAGAGTCTGGTTTTCCTGGTAGGGAGCATGGTGGCAGGCAGCCAGGCAGGTGTGGTACTAGAGCAAAAGCTCAGAGCTTATATCTGATCCCAGAGCAGGGGGCTGGGAGGTGAGAGAGGAGAGAGACAGATTGAGGATGGCCTAGGCTTTTGAAACCTCAGAACCCAACCCCTAGTGATACCTCCTCCAACAAGGCCACCCCCCTTAATCCTTCCCAAACAGTTCTACCCACTGGGGACTAAGCATTCAAACATAAGCCAATGAAGGGCATTCTCATCCTGTGACCTTGGGAGTCTGACAGGTGAGCTTGGGGAGACCTCCGGTATGCATCCCTGGCTCTCCTGGGAGGGTTCCACCTCCTGTGTCCTATCCACAGTTTCTATGGAAGTGGGGCACCTGCCAGCTCCTCAGCAGATTTCCTCCCTTTTGTTCTTATGGAACTGCTTGTTTAATGTGGGCCAAGATGACACAGGCTGTAGTGTGAGGTGACAGCTGGGGCTCAGGACAGTGAGGAACTGAGTGCCTGGTGAGTGAGTGGTGAGTTACCTAACCCCGGGGGATTCTGAAGACCTCCTGACCTAAAAGGTCCCTCAGAGAGATGCTCTGCATGGCAGTCCTGGTAGGCTGGGGACAGTGTTAGGCGGGTAGGTAGCATTTCTTGCTTCCTAAGTCAGAATTGTCATAACTCAGGAAGATTCCTTTTTATAAAAGGAGGAAGTGGATGGCTGGGTTACAGGTGTGCCTGGGTCTACATACCTAGTGAGTCTGCACAGTGCAGAGGGGTGTGGGTGTGTGAGTTCCTACAGACTGCTGTTTGGACATGAATTGTTTGTGCCCATTTTTTCCTGGTAAGTTTTTTTAAATGTTATTTTCCTTTTTAAAAATAATTTGTAGGCGGAGTTTTCCTGTGCTGGCAGCTATTCTCGAATAACCACTCAGAATCTTAATATTAATTGTAAATGCTCGGCCAATAGCTCAGGCTTGTTACTAGCTAACTCTTACATTTTCAGTTAACCTGTATTTTCTGTGCTTTGCCGTGTGGCTTCGTACCTTTTCGCAGTACAGCATGCCCCTCTTGCTTCTCTCTGTGCCTGCTCCAGAACCCTGACTCCACCCTTCTTCCTCCCAGCATTCTCAGTTTGGTTCTCCTGCCTAACCTTATCCTGTTCCACTATTGGCCAGTCAGCTTCTTTACTAAACCAATCACTACAACATATATTCACACCGTGTAAAGGAGTATTCCTCAATAATTTATTTTTATTTTGTGTGCATTGGTGTTTTGCCTGCATGTATGTTTGTGTGAGGGTGTTGGATCCCCTGGAACTAGAACTGCAGACAATTAGGATCTGCCATGTTGGTGCTGGGAATTGAACCCAGGTCTCCTGGAAGAGCAGCTAGTGCTCTTAACCTCTGAGCCATCTCTCCAGCCTCTTATCTGGTAAATCTTTAACGTTTAGAAGAAATGTCTCTCTCAAACCTAGTAGGAATATATCGAGTTAGGAGTGTTCTGTAGTAAACTATCTGTCTTAAGAGGTAGATGTTAAAGCACCTTGTCTGCCAGTTGAGTGGGTCTGGGAGTCAAGAGGTCACTACAGGCAAGTGTAAACCAAGACACTGCCTTAGTTTCTCTTCCTGTTCCTGTGGGAAAAGACCTGACAGAGCAACTTAAGAAGGGTTTCTTTTGGCGCTCAGGGTCGGGTCACAGTCCACTGTGGTGGGAAGTCAGAAGGCAGGAGATAGAAGCACCTAGTCATGTGTCCTCACTCACAGCCCAGTATCGTAGCTCAGGGAATGGTGTCACCCACAGTGGACAGGTCTTCCCCCTTCTTAACTCAACCAAGGTAATTCCCATAGGCGTGCCCAGAAGCTCATCTCCAAGGTGGTTCCAGATTCTGTCAAGATGACAGTTGAGATTAGCCATCACACTGTTGAGTCAGTGACAGCAGGGTGGGTCCTGCTGTGTCCTTGTGACCTGCAGAGTTGTGGAACCAGAAGGAGATTGACACTTCCTCACCACCACTGTTGAGCTCACAGAGCACTCCTGCTGCTTGACGGACGCTGCGCTATGGTTGGAGTCCAACTTCGCAGCTCACATTCTGGAAATGTAGATAGACTGGGCTAGAGTGGGGCGTGTCTCAGTCCAAGTGCCTGCGTGGAAGCGTGCGGACTGGGTTTGAATCCCCAGCATCCACATAGAAGCCAGGCTAGTGCCTATGAAGTGGAGACAGGCGGTCCGATCCCTAGAGCTCACTAAGTGAATTAGCAAGTACCGGTTCCCCATCTCAAAATCCTAAAATGGGGAGTAGTTGAGGAAGGCTTCCGAGTGCTGACTTCTTGCGTCCACGTGTACACACATGCACACCTGTATACACGTGCACACCTGTGCACCCATGCACACCAATGCATACATGCACATCTGTCTCATGCACACATACAAACAAAAAGACTAGACTTCATGGTGGTATCTGGTAGGTGTGGTTGGCCGAGTGGAAGACTTGAGGAGTTATGCCATGTCACTTTTCCTGTATGCATAAACTAGGATTGTACTGCACACATTTGGGCTTAATTTATGGTGAGCTATGGAGGAATCTGAAAAAAAAAAGATGTACTGTTTTATGGTTCTTATATGTAAGTCTTTTATAGACGTTTGACCTTTGCAGTGCTTAGGGTGGAGCCCAGGCCCCCACACATGCTGGGCAGGCACTCTGCCATTGAGTACCACCTCTAGCCCTGTAGATTAGCTATTTTTAAGGAATACACAGGACATCTCAAGTCAGAGAGGCTGAGAGTGAGTGTGATGCACAGTATGGGAGTTAGTCCTTCTTGAGTTGGTTTGTTTCAAGGCAGAAAGTCTTAGGAACATCTGTGTGGCTGCGGAGGGTGCCCGCCCCCCTGTGTGGCACTGTTGTATGACTGGACAGTTCTATGTCTCGTGACTCAGAGCCAGCCATGCCGCCTGGATTTTTCCCTTTGGCCTTCTTTAGCACTGTGGGTCACAAAGTCTGCATCTCCCTGAACACTGCTATATTCTGGGTTCCCAGTCATGGTGTGATGGAGCTGTGGCGGCTGGGGTGAGATCCATGGGGTCCTGCAGCAGCCACCGTGTGCTTGAGGCACAAAGAGGAGGAAAGGTGAGGTTGATGACAAGCAGACTCAGGCCAGGAGGGTTGGTGGTACTAGTGTAAACAGGTGTAAGTGTGTGCTGGGTATGTGCTTCTGCAGATACCAGTGGATCTTGCTTGCTTTTCTGGAGAGCATTGCAGAATGGTCTGAAAGCAGTATGTGTACTAGTCACTGGTTGGAGTGGAACAGTTTAGTGAACGTGGCTTCTGTGGGGCGCTTTGTGGCATTCTTTTGGAAAGCCTTGGCATGTGTCTGTCTGTCCTCAGGGCTGTGGCTGAGGAAGGCTGGTGTGTCCTGGGTCTCTGCACCATGACGGATGCTCAGCGCACTTTTCCGTCGCCCATCCCCGCAGGAGTGTGCCAGGTTTCCGAGGTGCTGTCTCTTCTTGCTGTGCTGCAGCATTACCTTAGAGCTCCGCCTCTTACCCACCCCGGAACCATCCTTTTCTCCTTGGACCCAAGGGTGGTGGTGACCGCCCTCTTCTGCTGCTGCTTTTTGAGGACGGTGTCTGGTTTCAATGCCTGTCTCTGGGGCAGTCTCTGGAGTCACAGTGTGCTCTGTCACCAGGCCTTTGACACGGGTTCGCTGAGTGTGTTAGGAGGACATTGTCACTGTGGGTGCAGCATCCAGATTTCCCCACAAAGGAATGAACTCCCTGCATGGTCCCTCCCCTTCCTGGCTGTCTCCCAGCTGTCCCCATGAATAAGTCCATTCATGATGAAGCCAGAGTTGGGCATCAGCGGAGACAGAGCCTGTGGTGTTTCTTCTTGGGGTTGAGTGTGTAAGCTGCTCATGACACTCCATCCACTTGGGGCTCCTTTGAGCTCCCAGAGCCAGCGCTGAACTGAAGAGCAGTCAGATGGTGCATATGAAGGCTGAAGTGTTTAACTTGTGTTTAGATGATCAGAAATCATGGTCAGAAACCTGAAGCGCTGCTGTCTGGGCCTCCTCTTTCAGTCTGTGTGATGAGTTAGTAGGTGGGTGTGGGCTTTGTGAGGCAGGTAGGACATAGCATTCAGGAAGTGCTCAGAAAGCCCACTCTGTGACGGGTGTGGGCTTTGTGAGGCAGGTAGGACATAGCATTCAGGAAGTGCTCAGGAAGCCCACACTGTGTGTGTGACCTACTTCAAACAGCCCCGCTGTCTGAAGGGTGGGAGAGAAGGGCTGGGAAGGACTTCCCTGTCTCACGGGGCCCTGTGGAGCTCTGGTTTCTCCCTTTGGACCTGGAGCTGCCCTGTGGGGCTGGGGACAAAAGGGCCCACTGTTAGGGTTTGGCTCTGCAGTTTACCAGGTGCCCAGTATGGAAGAAGCTAACTGCTCTGCAAAGGAAATTTTATGTGTATGTGTGGGGGCAGGGAGGGGTCCTAGGTCTTGACCCCAGGGACTTGAGCTGCCAGGGACTATGTTCTCAGGCCATTTTCTCCTCCCCTTTTATGTGGAAACAGTTTGTGCATGTTGCTCATGCTGTCCTTGAACTTGCCCCATAGGCCAAGCAGATATTGAATTTGTGATTATCCTGCCTTGGCCTCCCAAGTGGCTGAGTGACAGGTCTGCACATGAGGCTTAGATAAAGGACTTATCTTGGCAGGGATTATGACCCTGAGTAGCTGCTGGGTGCAAGGACAGGGGACAGGTGTGTGTTGGTGTCGGTCTTCTGGCCCCGGTCTTGGGAAGTCCACACCTGTCTTGCTTGGTCAAGTGGCTGTGGTGTTGGTGGCTGCCGCTGGGAAGCATTTAAGTTTGTCTGTTCGGTATTTTGTGTTCGTCTGGAAGTTTTAGGAGTTCACTAGATTTTGCTAAATTTGTTATACTAACTTAAGCTATTTGGATTTTGTTTTACTTTAGTTTATAATTACTCTATCTTTAGGAAATGTCTATTTAAAGATTCTTTACTTTAATAGGCCTTTCATCTTCAATATATGTTGTGTGTGTGGGTGATCTAAGACACCCCATTGTCTAACGAAAGTCCCTATTTCCCACAAGTTTATTTAGACTCAGTCTAAAGCATTGGTTCTCAACCTTCCTAATACTGCGACCCTTTACAGTTCCTCATGTTATGGTGACCCTGAACCATAAAATTATTTTCGTTGCTACTTCCTAACTGTAATTTTGCTACTGTTATGAATCGTAATATAAATATCTGATATGGGATTTCTGATATACAACCCTTGTGAAAGGGTAGTTTGACCCTAGTGGGTCACAACCTACAGGTTGAGAACCATTGGTTTAAAGAGTAAAGTCCATGTATTTGAGATATGTTTTACAGACAGGTTGTGTCCATTGTCTAAGTGCTTGGAACCAGAATTTTGGAGTTTGGGGGTTTGGGAATATTTGCATAGACTTTACTGGTTGAACATTCTTAAACACAAACTCTGAAATGGTCCAAAGCCTAAAATTTGGAGTCTCCGAATAGAACTCAGATTCCTGATCACTTTGGATTTGGGCTGCTTTGCTTAGGGATGCTCAGCTGCACACACGAAAGAACAGGTTTTGTCGAGTTCGGTGACCTTCGACAAGTGTGTTGACCTGTGACCGCATACCCAAGGTGGAATACAGAGCCAGTCTGTCAACAGCACACTTATCTCCTGGTCATCTCCACAGCCCGAATCCTGTCACAGCATTCTAGAAACACATCAGCCAATCGATGCTTTGGGACTGTCCACAGTCTGTCCTTTGTCATTTGAGTAGACCTTGCCTTCCTTGTCCAGGGATGGAATGTGCTCTCACTCAGCCTAGGCATACCTCTTGTCAGTACGATGAAGTCAGACCTCTGGCCTTAATAATTCAGTACATAAGATTAGTACTTAATAACCACAGAGAAGTAAATGCGTTAGTATTATATGCAGGCAACAAAATGTGACTTGAACAATGGTGATGAACTTGCTAAAATTTATAAATTATGGCAAGTAACTCTTGCAGTGTGAATGATGGTGGTTTATTATTTATTGCAGGTGCTACAGAATATCCTAGAAACAGAGCATGAATATTCTAAGGAGCTGCAGTCTATGCTTTCGACCTATCTGCGGCCACTGCAGACCAGCGAGAAGTAAGTTGGCTAGAGAGTGCTCCTGAGTGCCGGCTAGTCTTCTCAGTCTGTGCTTGTGTTTGCAGAGGAGAGAGGGTGGAGGTCAGAGTGCCAGCTTGCCTTGGGCACAGCATTGTGTTCATTGGGTTACAGCCCCCAGTAAGGCTTCATGGTAGGAAATCGGGATGCAGGTTAGACCACTGACAGACTTGTGCCTTTGTTTTTCTTGGCCTTAGGTTGAGTTCAGCAAACACTTCCTATTTAATGGGAAATCTAGAGGAAATCTCTTCCTTCCAGCAAGTGCTCGTACAGTCCTTAGAAGAATGTACCAAGTAAGTGAACTGCCAAGAGCTTATGAGTTTATATGGGTTTAGTTGCTGTCGAAAGCATCAAGCTTAACATGATTTTAGAATTACTATTTCTGAAGATAGAAGCTAGGTTATTTGTGTGTGTGGGGGGGGAACGGGACAGTTTTACAGTAAAAGCCGTGAATTAGACTGTTGGTTTCCATGACAGACCGTTTAGATAGGGAGACTTGAGGAGGGTGACTTCCAGCTGACGATGGAGGAGGGCGCAGCATGGCTCGTCAGGAGGTGGGGTGGCCAGCCGCCGGGCTGCGTCTGTGCGGGGTGTTGTAGGGAGGCGCTTTCCAGTGTTGTCTTCCAGTTGTGTTGCTCTGTCCTGTGAGGGGCTGATGGTTGTAGATTGTCATACACAGCAGCCTGCCGTTAGATAGATAGCCACAAGGGTCACAGCAGCCTGCCGTTAGATAGCCACAAGGGTCACACAGCCTGCCGTTAGATAGCCACAAGGGTCACACAGCCTGCCGTTAGATAGCCACAGGGGTCACACAGCCTGCTGTTAGATAGATAGCCACGAGGGTCACTCTTCACACTTGCCCTTTGTTTACTGAGTTCCAGCCTGTGCCAGGCACTATTCTAAGTATTGGGGTGTATAAATTCATTAACTCCTTTTCATGCCCTATTGAGGGGGTTGGGGTTTAAGATAAAATTGGGACACCAAAGGTGGAGCAGTGGACTCGAATGCAAAGCCTGTATCTCTAGCAGGCTTCCTCGAACTGCCAGCCCCCAAATCATGACACGGAGACTTATTAGTTAGGAATGCTCGGCCTTATCTTGTCCCACTGGCTCTTATAACTTAACTTGTTTCTCTTCGTCTATGTTTTGCCTTGGGGCTTTTTACCTTTCTTTCATTCTGTATGTCCTGCCTTTTCTGTTTCTCCTGTGTCTGGCTGCCTGTTTGCTGCGGGGCTAAGTGGCCCTGGGCATCCCCCTTGAGCCTGGACTCCTTCTCCTATTTATTCTCTTGGCCGCCAGCCCCACAGCTCCCTCTCCTGCCTCGCTATTGGCTGCTTAGCTTCTTATTAGACCAGTCAGGTGCCTTAGGCAGGCAAGGTGAGACAGCATCACATCTTTACATAGTTCACAAATGCAGCATAAACAAATGCAACCCACCTTTACATAGTTCACAAATGCAGCATAAACGAATGCAACCCACCTTTACATAGTTCACAAATGCAGCATAAACAAATGCAACCCACCTTTACATAGTTCA